TTAGAGACTAGGTCTTTAAGATCAAGCTAATCAAATATATACCGCTACCCCTTCACCAGTCGATTTTGCAACAGATTTCATTCGATCGTGGCTGTTTGCTTCGTATATTTACTCGCTAGCCTCTATACTTTGCTGGTATACTTAAATACTTATTCTTTCCAGTAACATCAAGCTTCTCCAGCCCACTGAATTAGAACACCACGTTCATAACAGAAAGTGACTGTGGGTCAGGGCTTCGCTAAAAATGCAAACCAGCTACTTATATTCGTCCACAGTACTGTACCTACCAGGAACTAACAAATCCTAGTATGCTTAAAGCTGTCAAAATTGGTATCTCGCTTTGGCTTTTCCTGGTGCTTAAGAAGGTTTCAAATACACGCTGGCATTTTAATTCCTGGGCAAGGTAAGTTTGGAATCTGGGTTATAGCACATTCATGCGTTCATCAGAACAAATATAGCTGTGACGAGATAAAACTCAGTTCAACATGTTTCGCAATTCGCATGCTGCGAATTCGTAACAGCTTATCGCAAAAAAACATGACTACTCTGGTTCACTAGTAGGCACCGTTATTCATTTTGATTTGACATTAGATCTAAGGATGCCTGGAGAAAAAAACCCCATAGTTTTAGCAGCCAGCTTATCACAGGGCTAAAGTAGGAGGCAGCTAAAACAAGATTGGAGAGAGGAGCAGAGCAGAAGAGCGATGAATAAACAGTTGGATAAGAAGGGGAATCCTGGCATATAAGGTGACGGCTTGGGGCGTAAAAGATATTTTAAATTGATAGTTGTGCCTGTATTTTATCACCTACTATGTGCACAGATAGGGTGTTATCAATGCGAGAAGATGAACTCATTAGTAAATTTCTTTAACTCGTAGCTAAATAGTCAAAAAAGCGCCTGGCTGAATGAGGCTCCGATGTGCCTGAAGCAGCAAGTGCTTGAAACAACTATTAGCTCACCACTGATTCATTCATATTCGCAATTTCCTCCATTTTATGTTCTGATCCCCATG